TGTTAATTATATATATATATATATACATATATATATATGTATATATATATAAATGCATACATACATATAAATTATGGAAAATAAGAAAAAATAAAATAACCTTATCCAACAGTCTAAAATATATATAAATATAAGTGATTGAGTTACGACAGTATTCTGTGATTCCAGATGCTGATTCTCCTCCCTCTCCTGGCTCAGTTCACTTCTGCAATTATGCCTCCTTTCAGGTTTTTTTTTTTTAATATCTAGATGTTCTTAGATACATGGCCACAAAACTGTATTCCAAGGATTTGAGTTGTTCTTTTATGATTAAGACCCTACTGTATGTGCATTTTTTATTTCTTTTTCATTGAACAATGTGCTTTCTGAACTCTATCCCTTGTTTCCCTGGAATTCAAACATATTTAATTCATCAGCATTATTATATTCACTTAGAAATAGCTATTGCTAATTTAATTGGCAATTTTATTAAAGGAGCCCGTTCTAACATTTTTTAGTTGTAGCTTTTTATCACATTGCTTTGTATATATGGGATGGAAAACGTAAAAACTGTTAGTTAGGATATGTCTAAAAACCTCTTCACATTCAGTGTTGAATTATGCTCGACTCCCTGCTTGATTGACTTGCTAATACTTACTCTTTATCTTGAGTGTCATTCAGTGAGCTGTCAAAAGTATTGACGAATGAGCATTCTCCAAAGAATGCTCTAGCAGTTAGTTCTTTCAGGCTTCTCACCTGTGCTCTATTCGTGTTCTTTCTCTTACCTGCTTGATGGGCCCAGAGGTGTGGGTAGCAGTTTTTAGTTAGCCTTTCCACTTTGTGCCCGCTCCTCCAGTAGTCCTCCTCTGTGTGCCGAATGCCGCATTACAGGCCTGGAGTTGTCCCAGTGTGCCATCACCAGCAATAACTGACTTGTTGTAGCTGTCTCTTTTGAGGCAGGAGTTTGCTCTGGGCTGTAACTCCCTACTAGGCAAGACTGCCACTGAGCTCATGGTAATACTCCTGCCTCAGCATCTTGAATATTGGGATGACATATAATATGGAATGCTTCATGAATTTGTATGTCATCTTTGCTCAGGGGCTATGGCAGTCTCTGCATTGTTCCAATTTCAGCATGTGTACTGTAGAAGCAAGTATATCTGTGACATTCTTAATGGTGACAGGATCATGTCTGTTGTTTAGGCAACTGCAACTGTATGATAGTATTCATTATGAAAAAATCTTTATGTAGTTAATATAGATCAAACTGGAAAAATCTTGAAATTGGTTAAATACAGTTCATTAATTCATTTTAATTGATAAATTGTTCTCTATTTTCAAAATAACATTGTAGTAATCAAGTCCCATGTATGTATTTAGATTGTTTCATTTTTTGACATCTTACTTCACAGTGAAATTTTTTATATGTGAATTGTGTCATGCTGTTTACAATAAGTATTTGCAAGTAGGTATGAACTTTAATGTGTAATTGAAACAAATCAATAAACTAATAACAAGGCAGCTATTAAGTGAAAATTAAAGTCTCTCCTGCTTTAAACATTATTTTCATAGTGAACTTTAAATGGCATGCTTTGTATCTCACCTATAACCCCATTACACTGGAATCTTAAGAGCTATATTAATGACTGGTATCAACAAGTATTTTGTATTTAAATTTGTCATGATTTTCACATATATAAAAGTGGGTTTAATCAAGAATACATCAGTGAGTATGTTAAATCAAAATACATTTTTATGGAGATTCTGGTCTTGGAAGATACTCTATCCAATAATATGAGAATTATAACAATGAACCATAAGAAACAAGAGCTATGAGTTTTTCCATCATCACTCTGGCTCAGCATCTTTCCCTGTGCCAAACTTGTCATTTCAGGTTTGACTTCTTAACCTGAGGGCCAAGTGTGTACTTTGAACAAGGCACAGCCACAAGCTTTGTCTATATGTGAGCTAAGTGCCCCTCACACACCACTTCCTGGTCAAATTCCCAACACTACACCATGTGGTGAGCTGTGGAGATTTAAAGGCTAACAATGAGTTAAAAAGCACCTCAAGGATGTTATTGTCCTTAATTTGCAAGTTAAAGTTATTTGTGTTTTCCTAGGATTTTTGATAGCCAACAGTTATGTAGTCAGATTTTGTTTTTCAGCTAATCTTTTTCTTTCTGATTTTCAAACTGTGAGAAAGTGATCATCCCCCCCAAATGACAAACTGTCTCACAAAATTATACATAGAGCCTGATTGTTTATCAATAGAAGCTAGTATTATGTCTTACACTTCATAGCCTGCAAATATTGATGATTCCTGTTTTTTAAAAAAAAACATTCCCCATATGATACAAGTGGAATGTTGGCCACTGAAATAAAATATGTGCCACATATTGTTCTTTTGGCTGAAACATAAAAATGAAGCCTTCTCCATGGAGTTGAAACAACAGCAACAAAACCCACTTTTTGTGTTTTCATTTTGATTTTTTTGTTTTGTTTTGTTTTTTGTTTGTTTCATTGTTTTTTCCAAGACTGGGTTTTCTGTGTAGTCCTGGCTGTCCTGGAACTCACTCTGTAGACTAGGTTAACCTTGAACTCACAGAGATCTTCCTGCCTCTGCCTCAGGAGTGCTGGGATTAAACACATGCACCACGACCATCCAGCCAAAAAACACTTTAAACCGATGATAGTAGAGCAAAAGGAAAAAAATTCCACTATATATTGGAGAAGACATATGCCACTGAATAGTTTATATTTAATTTTGGAGATGAAATGAACACACACACACACACACACACACACACACACACACTTAGGGTGTCCAGGTCTCTGCATGCATTAGGTGTGTTGCTCTATTTATACTTTCCAGTATCTGATATGCTAATGTGATTCAGAAAGTTGCCAGTATCACCTAATGGAAATCAGTTTGCTGTGGCATTTTAGCAACTTAATGGCTCAACAACATAATGTATCATATGCTATTAGCAAGATGATACCTATTAGCTTTTCTGAATTTTTCCCATAAACACACTTAAAAGCATTGCCAAAATTGAGTTTTCTGTGAACTGACGCTACCCACTATGCTGTGAGCCTAGCCGAATTCAAAA